CAAGTGGGGATAAGTGTCTTGAAGGACACAACGACAGCAGTCATCAGTGGGAGTAGTGAAGTAGGTCTCGTGGTGGACTCGAACCCACAACCTACAGGCTCAAAGAACAATGCTCTACCAACTGAGACACAGTCGCCCCTAAATGAAGTACATTCATTATTATCATACATAATAACATTAACATTGTTTCACATTATAGAACATGAAAGATCTCCAAAGGCAAAGAGGAAAAATTCTGTTTTTTTTTACATAAATATTGTGTGATATTATGGTCCAATGGCAAATAGATGTGGTTATTTTCTAAACGTTGGAACCTTAGCCGTGTTGACAGCTGATCCGTATCCAGTGCAGAGCCCACAGCCGATGAGACACACTTTATCCAGGGGGGCATCAGGGTGGATCTTGGCTAAATTAATTTGTCGGACCACAGTGTACTCTGAGAAAGTACTGGTTCCACAGAATTGAAGGATTTTCTTCCCTTTGCAGCTGAACCTGGAGTCTACTGGGGACATTGCATCCATGCGGACTTCACTCCTGCAAAGTAATAAATCATGTTGTCACAAGATTGTGTTTTTAAATCTGTGCCAGAGCGTCAGCTGAAACGTACCAGGCTTTCACACACTGGTTGGTCTTCGGACTCAGGCACAATTTACACTCACGGCACTGTGCCAGAAACAGGGGCAGTACTTTGTCACCTGATGGAAAAGAAAGATCAGAATTATTTTTATTGACACTTTAAAGATGCAGTCAGTGATTTTTTTCTCGATGCATTTATAATAATATTGAGGGGAAAACGTCCCTAAACCCTAAAAGTCAAGTAATCATGTGTTTTCAAATAGTAATGGAATTGACCGGATGCCTGTAGTCTCCAAAAATTCTTAATATCTTGGAGCGGACCGATAAAAATAAACGTTCATCCCCAACAAACCAATGGGATGTGTTTACCCCCTTCACCCTCTTCCTGTTTCTCATGATTGCCTGCACCGGAGTTATCAGATTTTCTAAAACCTAAAAGGACTAAACAGAAAATGCCAATTTCACGTTTTCCGCCCACTCTCCCTGTTGTGACAAAGAAAAGAGAATTCTGGATGTTTGGTTTGGTGGAGAGGGAGGGGGGGGGAGTGGTTTATAGTTGGGGCTACGGCTAAGCTAACTAAATCGCCTTCTGCACCTGTAACAGGAGGTCACACACTTTCAATTTACTTTGGCTCAAAGTGCAAATTATATGGGTAAAAATATATAAAGGCATGCATAAAAATAAAAAAGTAAAAAAAAAATCTTCATAAAAAGTTCTGTGTTGTAAACTAAGTGTACACTCTTATTATTCCCAATTCTGACCAGGCTTGAACTCTGTGACTCCGGAGCCCACACTCTCCACTATCCCAGCAGCTTCGTGCCCCAGGACCACAGGGAAGCCATCCTTGTGCATCCCCTCATACAGATGGTACAGGTCTGTGTGACACACTGCAGTGGCTACAATCTGCAGATTAGAATTAAAAACATATTTCAAACACAAATAAAGCTGTGCCAATTGTTTTCTCACCTTTACACGAACTTCATTGGCCTGGGGAGGAGCCACTTCGATTTCTTCTATGACCAAAGGCTTGTTGGGCTCCCAGGCTACAGCTGCCTTACATTTGATCACCTTAAGAAGCAGCACAGTATTCAGCTGAATATACAAGTGATAACATAAATAATTCGAATTAAAGCAGCAAGCAGCAATGAAAGCCCACACCCTCCGCGCAACCATCTCCCATGTGCCCACCTCAACCTCCCGACATCCTGCAGGTTGCTTTCTCCCTGTTAAAACTCGCTGAGGCCTCTCTATATTCCTCCACCCCCTCATCCATTCACATGCAGGCTAACACGGCTCCTTTAAGTTTGACATAATTTGAATGAAATAGAAGTAAAAAAATAAACATCTCAAGTTGTCTAAAAGTTTTGGGACATGGGTTATTATTGAGCCAAATATGAAAACATATGTGCAATTGACGTTTTTTTTGCTTGTTTTTTTACATGAATGCACCATCACGGGCTTCCTGTAGGTGGTGAAATGGTTTATGTGTCGGAGGGTGCAAAATGGGTGGTGGGTTTACTAAGGTTTTGTGTTTTTATAATCTTTTGCATGTTGTGTGTGTTTATCTTTATATGTTTTCTCCTGAAGCACCCCGGCTCCCCACAGAACAATTAGCTCGAGCCCAGGCTGTTCTCCCAGGCCATGAGAACGGACGGGAAGGACTGAGCAGTAGTGGATTTCATAGCCTTCTTTTAGCCTCTGTTTAAGCTTTTAGCCGTGTTTTAACTCAGGTTTTATCGTTTTTTTAGCCTTTTACTTGTTTTTATGTATTTTATAACAAATCCTTTCAAGTTGTTTATTGATCCAGTGGTCCTTTTTAATACCGGGTCCAAAGAACCTTGTCTTACACTTCCAACATATGTAAGAGTGATGTTATTGCGCAAGATGGGTCTAAAAGATAAAGTAGACCCAGGAAAAATGAATAAACCTCATAACCAATGGAATCGAAGTTTGGAGCGTCCTGGATACATCCTGTTCCTGATCCTTCTAAGATCGGATATTATTGTTACAATCTGTAACAGACTGAAGTTTGTGAATTCTACTGGATCAAAAACTAAACAGCACAGAGTGTAATGGTCCAGAGATAAGGTTGATGTGGAATGTTTGTGTGGTATTGATAATGTAGAATGTCAGGGTCAACAAACCTGCATTAATACAGCCGCTTCAATTCAAGTCGGATGATTCTTTGAAATGTGAAAATGGTAACAATAACAATGCTAACAGCACTAAGATCAGAAAGGTGGAAAAAGGTGGCTACTTACTGTATTCCTAAAAACAATCATACATTCTAATCTAGTTTTCACCAGAATTTACCATAAAAACACATTCATTCCTTGCCAAAGCCAACACCGCAGCAGTTTACAATATTGACTAAATAAGTAGAAAGTTAAATCTATAACCTTTCCAGTTGTGTCCATGTTGATTTCAATCGTCTTGAATAACTTTTCAGAGGACACTGCAGCCAGCCTCACACGTGTTGGAAAAACAGACTTTGACTCAAACTTGGGACAAGCAAAAAACTCAAGGTAAAAGTTCCCCTGGCCTTGAACCAAGAGTGTGACTGCGATCCCAGAGCAAGAGTAGAGTTTTATGGCTGCAGTTAGTGTTGGAACTGTTGCATAATCTGCAGAATATATTGTAACATTTTAAAGGAATAAATTATAATCCGTGACTCCTGGAACATGGAACGCCTATTGACATAATGAAGATAATTTCCTAACAATAATCATTTACATTTTTAATACTTTAATAAAACATTTAGGCTGTTTATGGTATTCAAAATATTCAATTACTGCAGAGATTTTGATCAGTTTCCTAACTTCACACTCAAAAGATATGAATTATGTGGGTCCCAGTAATGACCCTTGTGTCTCTACAACGTTAACATTTTATTTCAAATAGTTTTGATTCAGGAACAGAAAAGTTTTTGTTCAACCAGAGATTGCATGAAGGTATTGTATTACTGTATGGAGTTTGCATGTTCTCCCCATGTCTGCGTAGGGTTGCTCCAGTTTCCTCTACCACTAAAAACAGATGGTAGGAGAAACCTTAATAGTCTTAATGTGTGTGGTCTGTAAACCTGTCATTTTGTATGGCATTTGTGTTTATGCAGACAACACTCAGATCTATGTCTCACTGACTGCAGGAGAACATGGACCAGTGGACTCACTCCTTCACTGTATCCAACAGATCAGTGAGTGGATGCAAAACAACTTCCTTCAGCTAAACGCAGACAAAACTGAAATGATTGTCTTTGGTCCCCAGAAACAAAGAGAGAGCGTCATCTGTCACCTACAGTCTCTCTCCCTAAAACCTTCAAACAAGGTCAGAAATCTAGCGGTAATACTGGACTCAGACTTAAATTTTAATAGCCACATCAAATCAGTAACATCAGCAGCTTTTTACCATCTAAAAAACATTGCCAGGATCAAAAACATAGTGTCTAAAGCAGACTTGGAGATTCTTATCCATGCATTTGTCTCCAGTAGGTTAGACTACTGCAATGGCCTGCTCACAGGTCTGTCCAAACAGGCTGTAAAACAGCTGCAGTACATTCAAAATGCAGCAGCTCGAGTCCTGACTAGAACCAGGAAGTACGACCACATTAGTCCAGTGCTCAGGTCTCTGCACTGGCTTCCTGTGGCTCAGAGAATAGACTTTAAAACAGCTCTGCTTGTTACAAGTCTCTCCATGGCCTCGCACCAAAATATATTAGTGACATGTTAGTCCCATATGAACCAGCCCGGACTCTGAGGAGCACAGGGACTGGACTCCTGTTAGTGCCCAGACTCAGAACTAAACATGGGGAGGCTGCTTTTCAGATTCATGCTGCTAAAATCTGGAACAATCTTCCTGAAGATGTGAGACAGGCCTCCTCTCTGACAATGTTTAAAACCAAGTTAAAAACAGTTCTGTTTAGCTGTGCATACAACTGAGGGATTTTATATTTTTATCTTTTGTTTTAATGTTCTGTAATTATTTATGATTTTAATGCATCTTGTTCAGCACTTTGAGTTGCCTTGTGTATGAATTGTGCTATACAAATAAACTTGCCTTGCCTTGCCTTGCCTTTATATGTGACGTTGCCACGACGTTGCCACGACTCCCTTTAAAAAGAGGTTCCAAATCTTAATGGGATTTTTCTGGTTAAATAAAAATAAAATATACAATTGGTCTGGCATGCGCCTCCTATACGTCAACCTCGCTTACATATATTTGTGGAGTGAGATGCAATTGCCAAAAAATATAAATAAAAAAATTGGTAAAGCACTTTGTAACTCTGGTCTGTGAAAGGTGCTATATAAAGATTTACTTGATTTTCCTGCGACAGGACCGGCTCTGGGACCGGCTCTGGGACCGGCTCTGGGACCGGCTCTGGGACCCTCTGTTCAGTGATTTCTCAGTTAACACCCTACAGCGGTAAAACTGTGTTCCTACTCTTTAAAAAGAAGCCTCTTGGTTTGATCTCATGGGCTTACAATTGAGTTCAACATAAAACATAAATGAACACAAATATTGTTGACATGTCCATTAACCCTAACCCTCTATTTTATCAAGAAAAACCACATTTGGCCTAAAATATAAAGTGGACTTTATCAATAACCTGGGGACACACTGGATTGAGGCGTAATCTAAAATAAAATTGCACATGGGCCTTCCTTAATTTTATTTGTATTTAAAAGTGTTTGCTGCAGACTATGTTGAAACTGACTCAGGATTAAATCTGACATACTGTATGTGTGGGAAAAATAAAAAAAACAATGACAAATGATGTTATGATTCAGATTCACATTCAGATTCAGATTCATTCAGATTCATTTTATTAGCCATGTGCAGTATAAAAATTACATTGGAATACATTTGCAAAAAAGGTACTCCGTGTGCACCGACCGACAGATTTATTGTGGAGAAGTCTTGAGGACGACTCGGATACTGCAAAGAAAACAAACAAGCATGACAAACGACAGCCCTTACGACATTCAAAGCATTCTTTCATTTGAATACACTAATTCGTTTTATCTTTTTTATCACAGCACCACTTAAACCTTACAATTATGTCACCCCTAAGTAGCATCAAAAGTAAATCTGAACCCAATACTCAGAAGGGTCTTCAATATCACAGGATACTCTATAGGTACCAGTTTTAAACACCAGACCTTGCACCATGTCTGCTTGTAGGTGCTTTAACTTACTAGAACCTTTAACGTGTGACATCATCCCTGCTCGGAGTAAACTCACTCACCATTGAGCCTTCTTCATGAGTTCCACAGCCTCCATGATCTGACCCAGGTCCATGTTGTGTGTGATAAACTCATCCACCATCAGCTTCTTGTCCATGTATCGCTGGACCATGTCTGTCACCCCGTCCTTACTCTTAAATCCTGAAATTAAAACAAAGAAGTGACAGTACTGAGAAAGACTGAAGAGATCCAAAAAGTGTTACCTCCAAACAGCGCCCCCTTCCAGGTGCGACCACTGAGCAGGTCCGTTGGGCGCGCTGTGAACTTCTGCACTCGAGTGTAGCCCACGATCACGCTGACGCCCCAGGCCGGGACTGTGGCAAGAAGGGCACTCTCCTGCAGGAACAATCATCGGATTATTATCTTCAAAATGAAAATACACATATTAACATGAAATACTAAACCAGTGGTTCCATTAGTGGGGGGGGGGTCACAGAACGCAAAGTGGGGGTCGCAAGATGAAGTCAAATGTAACATAAAACTGAAAATTGCATTTAATCATTTAAATAAACAAACACATGTTTTAAAGAGACATTGAAACAAGCAATATTACAGTTAAAGCCGGGGGACCTAACCCCCCCTCATAAATACATGTTCTTTGTCTCTACACAAAAACATTTTATCTTCGCATAGTGAGCCTTGGGAGTCACTCATTAGGCTGAGAGATAAGTAATGGTGGTCTTCTCTTTTTCACTTTTCTGTCTGAATAATCTGATTTAACTCATGGCTCCAGCATCCTCCACAGTCATTCAAATATACCAAGATTTTTGCAAATTGGCTTTTGATGATTTTTCCTAACTTGACCTACCCTGGGTCAGTTATATCATTTTAGACCCTAATTTAGGGTAATTCTCCTCGCCCTACTTTTAATCTCTGTGGCAGGTCAATTTGACCCGAGGATAGCACAGGGGTTTGACAGAGGAACATATTTAAGAATAAGAACCTAGTGAGATGAATGTTATCGAATAGTTTTTTCCACGTTACATGAATCAGGTTTTGATTCTTTAAATTAATCTACTTTTAAATTAATCTAAATTTCTACTTTCAATGTCGTTGAGCAGTGAGGGCTGAGAATCAGGGTTGATTCTAATTTAGGAAGTCTCAGTCTGAAAAGTTTGGGAATTCTTGAACCAAACCATGGAAACTATACCCACCACCACCGCTGAGCTGCCCACACACTCCAGGGAGAAGTCCACTCCTCCTTGGGTCATCTCCTGCAGGACCTCATGGATGGGTTTGCTGTGGTCTTTGGGGTTCACAAAGTCAGTCGCTCCAAAAATCTTGGCTTTTTCAAACTTCTCAGGGTTTGTGTCCACAGCAATAATCCTCTTGGCTCCAGCGGTGCTACAGCCCATAACTGCAGCCAGACCCACAGCTCCCAGGCCAAACACAGCACAGGTGGAGCCCTTCTCTACCTACGGACAAACCATTTCATTACAATTCAATTCATTTTATGTAAAAAGATGTCGGCACTGAGAAGTAATTGCTTTTGGCCTCCATCTTCATAGAGAAACCCGAGTGCCAAGGGATCCAGTATCTCTAAACACATTAGGAGGCGTATACAAACAAAGAGATGAGTAGTTAGAGCTAATTCAAAACATGAGCGTGAATCTGGAGCAAAATTAAGGAATGGAAACCGAAATGATAATCATGAGATGCTGGTCTGTTCCCATCGAGGCCCAGGTCTCCAAGATGCCCGTTCAAATCCATGACCTGTGCTCATGGACGTCCCAAGCATTAGCGACATTATTACCAGCTGTGGTCCTTCTGGTCCTTCCAACAGGTATTGGCTCCTCCGAACAGCTGGAAGTCTGGTTTGGAAAGGACTTTGTTGGCAGGCAGCCGCTTACATTTTCTAGGACATTGTGTTTCATTGTGGAATTATAATACAGCTGCAAAAATGTAACATTAATAAATCTGTTTTGTGTGACGCTTTTCAGGACACTCAAAGACGCTTCACTTTTTTTTTTTTTTCACTCCATACACAATGATGTAGCCACAGCTGCCCTGGGACACTGACAGAAGCGAGGCAACCAGTGTTTACCATCAGCCCCTCTGACCACCAACAACCATTCACACACTCACCAGACTCATTCTAGGCAATTTGGGTGAAGTGTCTTGCTTAAGGACACAACCAGAGTTTGGAACTTTACAGCCGCTCCACTGTGGCACCTGCTGTTCCCAGAGAGCTCCCATCACAATCATCATCACAGTACTAACCAGGCCCTGCCCTGCTTAGTAAGTAAGTAATGTTTATTTATATTGCGCATTTTACGTACCAGAGTCAATCCAAAGCGCTTTACAATTATCTTTTTCCCATTCTCACGGGCGGATGACTGAAGCGAGACGCCAAACACTCTGGCGCATCAAAGCTTCCGACCAACACCCAACACTACATCCAGACCTACTGTACACGTTTTTTTAGTGGTAGGGGAAACCGCAGCACCTGGAGGAAACCTATGTAAGCACGGGGAGACACATGTAAACTCCACTCAGAAAAGCCCTGCTCCGACTGGGATTTGAACCCAGGACCTTCTTACGTTCACATAGAAGTATGGCAGTGATAAATGTGTCTGACAAGGTCCTTTGCAGTGACACTTGACCACTGTGTTTTTCAATCTTGGTCCAAAACACAAATTAAAAACACAATATTAAAATGTATTCAAACCTTAGCCGTGTTGACAGCGGATCCGTATCCAGTGCAGATCCCACAGCCGATGAGACACACTTTATCCAGGGGAGCGTCGGGGTGGATCTTGGCCAAGTTGTATTTTCGGATCACAGTGTACTCTGAGAAAGTACTGGTTCCGAGAAACTGCAAGATTTTCTTCCCTTTACAGCTGAGCCTGGAGTCTGGAGCAGTCAAGGCATCTTCTCGAACCTCACTCCTACACAAAACATTTAGGATTATGTAAAAAAATATATTTTCCTCAATCCTCCACAGACAATTCCTCACCAGGTTTGAACACAGTGATTGGTTTTGGGATTCTTGCAGAACAGACAATCAGCGCACTGTGACGCAAAAATGGGGATCACCTTGTCACCTGAAATTATACATGGTTTTGTATGAGAGAATTGTTTGAGGATTATGCAAATGTACTTAATGTTCAAGCGTTCAGCCATGTTAAACTAACCACAGACATGTGACTCCTGTCAGAGTCTGGTAATAGTATGATTTTGCCACAGTTACATCACACTCCAAGCATTTTTTCTGCCTTTTAAGGTTAAAAATGTGTTGTAAAAGGATTCTCTCCCTCCCCACTGCCCTCCACCAAACCCAACTTCTTATACAACACCTTTTCCTCATCTGATTTTCTCTCAGGAAGATTGGCAAGTGGCAAATGTGAAATTGGAACTTTCGGGGTTTGCGGTGCAGCCATTGTAGCTGTTTTAGAAAATCTGACTCAATAACTACTCAAGATAAGTGGCACTGACGAAAAGCAGGAGGGAGGGTGAACGCATCCCATTGGTTTCGCATCGGTCCACTTCTAATTTTTTGATTTATTGTTAGTTTTAAATATATTGATCATGAAAATACTACGTACAGATGATACCACGGGGCCATGCTCAAATATATGTATTGATAGTGTCCACCATCACCTGGCTACTTCTTACAGCCTGTAAATGTAGAATATGGAAAAAATTAAAAATCAAATGTTGTGGAAGCATAGTGCTGGCTGATATTATTTTCCTGTATGCTTTTTTCACCAGACATTTACAACTTTAGATCTTAGTTCACATTCTAACACAAAGTCTCATTATCTTTCTTAATGGCCAAAAATAATTCTTCCTTAAATACATCTGACCAGGCTTGAACTCTGTGACTCCGGAGCCCACACTCTCCACTATCCCAGCAGCCTCGTGCCCCAGGACCACAGGGAAGCCATCTTTGTGCATTCTTTCATACAGATGGTACAGGTCTGTGTGGCACACGGCAGTGGCTACAATCTGCAGATTAGAACAAAATTATATTAGTTGTTAGAGTCAAAACCTTTAATTAAAATGTGCTTTTCTCACCTTTACGCGAATTTCATTGACTCGGGGAGGAGCCACTTCGATTTCTTCTATGACCAAAGGCTTGCTGGGCTCCCAGGCTACAGCTGCCTTACATTTGATCACCTTGAGAAGTAACAAATAAGTATTTACTGCCACGAACGATTGAAAAGGCTTGACCACTGCACACTCTGAGGTTTGAGATATGCTGATTCTTGAATGATAAACGTTTCAGCGCCAACTTTTTTGAGAAAAACTCAGCTCAAAAACGTACTTAAGAGCGACTTTAATGATCGTCGTCTTGTCTTAAGATGTAGTTTTACTCTCTGGCTTTAACACCGCGTTAATCGTGTGGTTCTCTTTTTATTTGTTTCATTGTTTATAGTTCACTGGTATTTTATTGTTTTTTTTTATCACATTTGTATTATTTTTACGTGCATATTTAAATGTGTTGATTTTATCTCTGTGCAGCACTTTGGAAACTTGTTTTATAAAGCATGCTATATAATTAAAGTGAATTGGAAAAATACAGTCTGGGCAAGATATAGTTGTACAATAAAAAAGTGGTAAAAAAAAGAAAAAAAAGAGGCAAAAGCAATGCAAGCTTATATCAGTCCTGTTTATTTCTAACTTCTTTATTGTTTACTTTATGCTTCTCTGAGGTGCATCACAAACTGAATGATGCCCTGGAGTGGGAGGTCTGGACACTGGTTTACTTGTTTTTGAGGCCATGCTTGGTCTGCTGCCCTCTTCCATCTGACATTTAATCAGGTGTTGGTTCTTACGGTTTGCGGCCAAATGATGTTTTGTTGCTCAGAACTGGGTAAAAAGGCTTTTGTATTTGCTGCTCATTGAGACTGAGAGGTCCTCATCTGCATGTAGCAGTTTTTATAATCTTTAATCTTATGAAATTTGTGTTACTGTTTAATAATCTGTAATTGTAGATAATAGCTTTGGTCCAGGACTCACTTGAAAAAGAGGTTCTCAATAAAACTTTTCAAAGGTTAAAACTTACTAGAAACTTTTGTTTATAATATTTTGGGTAACTACGGCTTGCAGTCCATTTATCATATGATTTTTTATTCTGAGTTTTACAAGCTATGAACCAATTATCAACCTTTGCCTGAAACGAGGCCATCACATTAGTATTACATTGTAGGTTGAATTACAAAAGAAAACAGACTTTTGAATAGGATTGTAATTTTCAGAGTCTCACCGCACTCTGTGTAAAATAGATCATAAACATTGAGTCATCTAATTTCCATTCAGATTTGTAAAGCCATATGTTCATAATTAGCCTGACATGCCTGAAAACCCTGAAAAAACAAGTGGGTGTGGCTTCCCATGCGAGATCAGTAACTCTGCAGCTTGAAATTATCAAAACAAATCATTCAATCATTTGACCAAGGAGGTTTTATTTGACTAATTTCCAAAAGGCACGGCCAATAACATCTCAAGGCACACTTAAAAAATTATTCATTGGACAAACTCAATTTAATTGTTCACAGATGTTGCAACCAAAAAATATAGTTTTTCAAGCTCAAAGTCATTCTGTGAATATTAAAGTAATTCAGTTGGACCAACTATTTTTCAAATTCTTTAAACTAAGATTAAAGGCTTACATAAATAAAAAAAGAGTTTGGCCAAGCAGTTTTTAAATATTCAGAGTGTAATATAAAGTCGTGTATGTAATTAAATCTAAATGGGTTTGGTCAAGCCATTTATATAAAAAAACCAAAAAAATAATAACTTGAATTAATAAAATTAGTCTTACAATTGATTTCTAAACTGCAAAGATAGAAAGATGCTGGTGATAAAATCCTCAGCAGATCACATCAAACATGCAGTTTCATGAACATATGACATAAGGGGCCAACCTTTCCAGCTGTATCCATGTTCAATGTAGAATGAAAAGTTGCAGCTTCTTGCAGCAATGAAGCAGAGGCAGAAATGGGGAAAAACAGCAGCTTAAATACAGACAGCCTGAGGGGAGGTGGCCCGGAGACGTACGCAACGCATGTGGGCTTTATCAAACTTTCCAACAGTTAACCATCAGCGAAAGGCAAACCTTATTTGTATTTCCATAAGTTATTATTGTAATTATCAATTCAAATGGCTGAATGGAAAATGCAAATTGAGAAGGGAACCTAATGCTTCTTCTTTGTATATTATCTGATGTAATAAATGGGAAACATTGAGACACAAAAATGGTTCTTTGCTAATATATCAACATGAAAGAGACTCCACCTTGTTCACCTGTTCCTCATCAGCATCACTCCCGCCTCCCTCCTGCACCTGCTCTGCACTGATGACTCTCATATGAGGGGGGGTCTCTTAGAAAATTAAAGGGGCATTATGTAAATTTGTATGTGTTGTATTAGCATGCATGGGGCCTTTACTATCAATTGAATTCATCTAAATGTATATATATGACAAACACACAGGAGCCATTGGTCCAATAATGTCCTTCCTGGATCACGTCCTGGATCATCACTGTCCTTAGACGCTCCTGCAGCAGCAAAGAACAACTCAAAAACCCACCGGAAACTCAAGGACGCCCTCTTTGACGCCCACAGATGGACATGCGGCAATAGATGTAAGACTCAGGCGGTAGAACGAGGACAGAGCCTGGTGCAGGACTGAGGAGACTCCCAGGCAGGAGAGGGGTGCAGCCCACAAGTCCGGGCCTGGGAGAGACGGTCCACAGGTGCTGATGAAGGTGGTCAGATTCAGGGCTCCCATCATCACATCATAAAACACACAATGGGAGAGCGACGTCACAGTGGTGCGTGGGAGGCCACAGGATTTTCTCCGCTTTGGGATCCTCTCACCGGAAGACCTACAGAACAATTGGTCATGGAGCACTGTAGATCCGACCCATCAAAAGTGAAAGCACCACGCTGCTCACTCGCTGAGTCACTACACAAAAATATACGCTTTTTTCATCCATTCATTTTCAACCCCTTTATTAGTCCATTTCTGAGTCTCACTGATCCTTCTACAGGTGGTGGGTTCATGGGAAGATGGCTGCTGCTCCGTTAAGGGTGACACAACCTCTGTGTTTCAGCGGGGGCTTCGAGCAACGCGGGGTTAAGTATCTTGCCCAAGAACACAACGACAGCAGACATGAGTGGGAGCAGTTGAAGTAGTTCTCATGGGGGGGATCAAACCCATGACCTTCAGGCTCAAAGGCTCTACTTACTGAGCCACTGTCGCCCCATACACTTTTTTATGTGAGAAAAGATAGTACACACTTTTTTCACATAAAAGGTTTCATGATGCTGCTTTAAAGTGCTAGAGAGTACAAGCCATATCCAAGTGAAACAACAGGGACTGCCCAAAGAGCTTTCTTTGCGCCGGACTTTAAGTTTGACCAGAAACCTCCTTGGTTTTCCGTACTCAGTTGAGGCTCTGGCTCCGGTCGCTGGTCTCTGATCTGCTGTTGATCCCTCAACACCTGAAAGCTTTTATCTTGTTCTGTAATGAAAGCCCTGTGATGTTGAATCTCCGTCTGCACAGTCTCAAGGCATTCCTGCAGGTGGACTGAAGTGGGAAGATCCTGTGATCCGTCTCCATCCGAAAGATTCTCTGATGGAGCAGTCTCAGAGAAGGGCAGGTCTGTCTGAGTCCCTATCTCTACAAACCCTACCTCTGTCCCAATCCCTACGAACTCTACATCGGTCTGAGCACCCGGAGGAAACCTACGCAGGCACTGTTACTGGAACAGGTGGAACCCAAGATCACACCCAAACACAGTTAAAGATGAACAATTTATTGATAGCAAGAGTTGGGCTGAAGGGTCCAGCGGCGCAGAGGCTGTGTCCAGAGGTGCAGGTAGGTGTGGGGGCAGTGGGGTCCAGGGGTGCAGTGGGTAAAGGACGGTAAACACACACACACACACACATTTACCGACCTTGACCTTTTAAATTGGGCAAGGTGGGTAAATGGCCAGAAGCATACAGAGCAAGAGAAACTATAGGAATAAGTCCTAAAGCACTCATCCCTACAGTCAGAAGGTCTTGGGCCCACTCCTCTGTGCAAATTCTCCCCAGATCCAACTCTGTCAGATAGTTACTGATCCCAAATCTGTCAAAAGACACATTTGGTAACAGTATCTGACACAGATGGGTCTATGGGGCAAATGTACAGAGTAGACAGCCCCTATGACCATTTCTTACTCTCTCTCTCTCACACACACGCGCGCTCTCACACACACATTTACCAACCTTGACCCTTAAACTGCGCAAGTTGGCTAAATGGCCAGAAGCCTAAAGAGCAAGATATACTATAGGAATAAGTCCTAAAGTACTCATCCCTACAGTCAGATGGTCTTGGGCCGACCCCTCTGTGCAAATTCTCCCGAGATCTAACTCTGTCAGATAGTTTCTGATCCCAAATCTGTCAAAAAACACATTTTGGAACAGTATCTGACACAGATGGGTCTATGGGGCAAATGTACAGAGTAGACAGCCCCTATGACCATTTCACTCACACACACACACACACACACACACACACATACACACACACACACACACACACACACACACACACCTACCGACCTTGACCCTTTAACGGGGTTTGGTCGGTGACTGTCTGGCCCCTTAACATGCCAGAGAGTACAAGCCATATCCAATTGCTAAAACAGGGACCGCCCAAAGAGTTTTCTTTGTGCTGGACTTGAAGGATGACCAGAAACCTCCTTGGTTTTCCACAGCGCTGGCCTCCTCCGTACTCAGCTCTGGCTCCGGTCGCTGGTCTCTGATCTGCTGCTGGTCTCTGATCTGCTGCCGATCCCTCAACACCTGAACGATTTCATCTTTATCTGCGATGATAGCCCTGCGATGTTGAATCTCCATCTGCACAGTCTCAAGGCGTTCCCTGAGAGTGTTTTCCTGTTCCTGCAGGTGGACTGAAGCGGGGAGGCCCTGGGATCCGTCTCCATCCGAAGGATTCTCTGATAGAGTCTCTGAGAGGGTTGGGTCTGTCTGAGTCCCTCTCTCAGCAGATGCTACGTCTGTCTGAGTCCCAATCTCTACAAACTCTACCTCTGCCTTAGACCCTACCTCTGTCTTAGTCCCTATCTCTACGAACTCTACATCGGTGGTCTGAGTCCCCAACTCTACCACTTTTACCCCAGGACCCTCGACTGTCTTTGCCCGTTCTGCTTTGATGGCCTTACGAAGCTGCTCTATCTTTGCTTTCAGCTGTGAAACTTCAGAGAGATGATTTCTATGCTTCTCTATACAAATGTCCCAATGATCTGCCCTTTTTTTCTTTATTTCATCCTGTGTTGCGATTTTAAGATCTTCAATCGCCCTCTCCCTCATTTTCACATCGCAACGCAGCTTGTCAAGCATCAAGGTCAATCGAAAGACTTCTAAATTATCTGACCACTCCATATTCTTAATTAGGCTAAGTGCAAATGAGAAAAAGGTAAAACATTCACAACTTACTATACCTCAGAACAAACACTAACCTCAGAACAAACAGGAGTCTCTGAACCGGAGCTTAACATGGTCTTTCTACACAGACTCAGTTGAGACAAAGGTTACTACGGCAACCAGTGTGATGTCATGAGATGTGAAATGTTTCCGTAGCAACGTCGCCGTGGTCTACGATTCTAGAATTTGGTTACTGCGGCTCCAAGAATTCCAGAACATCATCCTCACTTGGGTTTTTAGTTTTTCTTTTGCGGATTCCTTTGCCAATATTCAACAAAACGTGTGAACATTTATGGACATTGGTCATCTGCCCCTCGTTTAGCGTTTCCTGTTTTTGAACTGTTTGATTCTCTGATCTGGTGTTGACGAATCGACAGCTTTGTAAAGTCCTCCGAGATATCGACTGCTGTGGTTTAGGGCGATGCAAAAATAAATGAAATTGAAACCTACAGACTCTCGATGTCACTTTAGTTTAAACCAGGCGGATTGTTGTTGTGACTGGATTCTTGAAAGAGAAACGTCCAGAATGATTGCCATCTGACTGAGCTGAAGTTGGCTGAGTGTAAAAAATGCTGATGATCTTACATGAGTTTTATCACAGAAGTGTCACACTTCTGAACTATGGCCGTGTAAAAGCACATCACACACATTTTAATGTCCTGTATAAACTAGCAATACTAGCGTCACACAGTCTGGCATACAGTATATAGGCAAATATACTGTTGTTAATATGATCCTATATTTGAGCTATTGGACGACTGTTAGCATGTAAAATGCATTTTGTTGCATTGTTCTGACATCCCTACAGTGGGAAGGTCAAAGAAGAGTCTACTATTGTGTTTTTTTTATATCTAACTAACTATATGGCTATAATGAGGCTGGGATGAGAATCAGCACCTCCAAATCCAAGGCCATGGTGCTCGACCGGAAAAATGTGCCTTACCCTCTCCAGGTGGGTGGAGAGGTCCTTCCTCAAGTAGAGAAGTTCAAGTATCTCGGGGTCTTGTTCACGAGTGAGGGAAGGATGGAGCGTGAGATTGACAGGCGGATCGGTGCAGCGTGCGCAGTTATGCGGTCGCTGTATCGGACCGTTGTGGTAAAGAGGGAGCTGAGCCGAAAGGCGAAGCTCTCGATTGCAGCAAGAAGGTCAATGGTTCAACTCCCTGACAAAAACATAACTTTCCAAACAATTGGTTCTCTCAACTAGTTTTCATAGACACATGTATTTTACAGTCTATGTCATCTGTATTTTAAATGCTAACCAGCCCATTCTATGAAGAAGGTCCATTATTCGTCCCACAATGGGGAAATTTAGCTGATAGAGACCAGCGAGAAAGCAGATAGAGACGAGAGAGAGACCAGATAGAGACGAGAGAGAGACCAGAGCAAGACTAGAGTGAGACCAGAGCGAGACCAGAGCGAGACCAAAGCGAGACCAGAAAGAGACCGGA